GCTCTTCCTTCCTCCTCCCTTGGGTCTTATAGATTTTGTGGGACTGAACTTAATGTTTGGATTTTTTTTGGCTTGGAGACTTTGATAATTCAGGGACAGCTGGCTTGGGGCTGTGTTGTTTTGAGAGTCTGAGTTGTTTTGCACCTCCCAAGGGAGGAACGAGGGCTTTTCCTCCACCTGCAGCCATAGATGCAGTGCAGGGATGCAGCGTGGTGAGGTGCTCACCTGGCTCCCCTGGCTTTTAGCTTCGCAGGCAGTCAGTGAAGGAAGATGAAACTGCTCGTGGAAGCAAACCCAGCAGTGAGGCAGAGCGGAAGGAGGAGGATGCCAAGCCTGCCACTCCCTCCTCCGAGGAGAAATCCCAGCTGAAAGGAGACTGGAGGATCCGCGGCCACCACCCCTTCTCCTACCTGGGCCTCGAAGACCCCCTCTTCATACGCCACAACCCGTATCGGAGCCCCAACTTTGAGCCCGAGTGCCCTCTCCCTCGCAAATCCGCCTTCACCCCCTACAGCAGGCGGGTGAGCGAAGGCTCCTATCGCTTCCACCCTGAGGCGATGTATTCCCGGGCCTACTACGCCAACCTCTACGGCAGCCCCTACAAGAAGGACTGAGGCGGCGTGGGCAGGCCGCAGCTCCCTCGCCCACGCCAGCTCGCTCCTCTTCATGCTTTGCCGGCCACTCAACACCGCGTTCAGCATCTGCCCTCACCAGCTACCCCCGCACACGGCTCTGTCCCCCCAGCCCAGCAGGGACACAGGGAAGAGAGGGGGTGGAACTAGGCGTGAAGCCAGAGGGAAAGGGGCTGCAGGGCCCCTGGAGTAGGTGCTCCTGAGGACCTGCCAACAGTTGGAAATAAATGGTTGTGTCCTCTCTTCCAGACAAAGGAAAGGCACCAAACTAGCTAGTTCTGCTAACAACATGCAGGAGCCAAATCAGAAATATAAAGGCTGGTCTGTCCTGCTTTTGCCAGAAGAGCCATCGGGGCTCTCAAGTATATACTATAAGTCTCCTCTAGCCTTGGTTCAAGCGAACAGATTTTGCATCTTTAAAAAGGCAGCCTTCCACCCCACTACCCCTGAGACTATAATAAAACCTGAGGGGCACTTTGTCCACAAACTACCCTCTCGTCCTACATACATAACAGACACAGGAGAGAACCTCTTTTCTGCTCCCTCAGGACTGTGATGGTGTTAGGTAATAGTTGTGCAATGGGAATTTGCTTCCTTGGGGAGTGCAGTGGGGCCAGAGGGAGGAGACTAAAGGCAGCAAGAAGTTGTAAAAGGAAGAAAATAGGTGGAGAAGATACCAGGAATGAGAAGGAGATGTAGAGAGACTGGAGAGGCCTGAAAAAAAAAAAAAGAAGGAATAAGCCAGGGCTGGCACCAGGCCCCCCAGTTCTTGGCGAGCACGGAGTGTAGCAGAGAACATCATTGTGAGAGACCAGCAAGGACAGCAAAGCCACCAAACGCCAAGCAAGGTCAGACTGGTTCCTCATCCCTCTCCCTTCCATCCCACCTTGCATAGTCTGTCTCTGGCTCCAATTTGCTCTTCCCAAGCTTATCTGTGAGCTGTGCTTGAAAGACCCCAGTGACCAGCAGGATTCACAAATAGGAATGCCCCAGGGATCAGGCTCCTCATCCTTCAAGAAAGATGGTAGGGCCTTTGGGGTCAGGAGCAAGACCTGTGACCATGCGTGGAGCTCTTGGAGCCCCTCTCCTGTTCAACCACCTGATTTTCTGCAACACACGTTCTACTTACTGCAGTAATAAACCTTCTCTACTTGCCATTTGTGCAGTTTTCTCAGTCTCTTTGTGAAGGAACCTGGGGGGGCTGCAAGGGCATTAACAGGCAAGAGCTGAGCGAAGTGAGAGCCAGGGCTGAGGGAGGGGGGACAGGAAATCTCACTGCCAAGTTGTTAATGCAGAGACAGTGAGATCCTGAATGTGTCTGGACAGGTTTGTTAGCTGCATCTACACAAGGAACCAGAAAGGAGCTGGAAATCCCTAGAGAAGACAGCCAGGCACAGAAGTGTCTGCCTTTTGTGGTGCCCAACACAACACAGATGCCTTCCCACACCTTGAGTGCAAATTCACAGTCATGAAGAGCCAAGGGCTTTCTGCCCCAAGAGATTTATTCTGTTTACAGTGGGACATTAATAGAAAAATCACTATCTTCATCACACACACAACCCTCTTCCTGCATGCTGCATTCCCAGGCATACCAGGGGCCTTGCAAGACACTGGGGAAGGGTTTGGGGGAGAAGCAGGGAAAAATGCTTTCCAGCAGTACTGGGTTCAGGGATGAGCCCGGTGTTTTTTTTCCCAAGTTCCTTTCATTTTCAGGGATGGGCAGGCATGGCTTTTACAGAAGGACTGGGATTATAAAACACACTCTACAGTACCACATCCTGGGAAAAAGCCACACAACCGATTTTCCCATGCACAGTCTATATGTTATTTGAACAACAGAAACATCTGTTGGCAGCGGGACTCACAGTTCAAAAGCAGAGCAGTAATCAGAATCCCAGAGAAGAGGCAGACAGGACCAGAGGCCACACAGTCCTTTCTGAGGTCCTTCAGGGTCAGCTGATAACGCAGGATTGGAGATTCCACAGCCGGCTCAGCACCCGCAGGTGTTCAACAGAGAAACCCCCATCATGCCAGCTAATTGGGTATGAAAATCAACAGAAAAGTGAGAGCAGATCCAGGGTTACAGAAAAGGAGATGCTGACGACTATCATAGATAGAAGTAACAGGAATCCTGCACAAGCAGCATGTCCAGGACCCAGGATAAGCGCAGGAGGCAGGGCAGTGCTGCCAGTCAGAAGCAGTTTATTCTCTCTGCTCACCATCAGTCAAGGCAGTTTTCCATAGAAGACATTGAGGAAGCTCCAATGCTGCCTGGAGTAGCACCAAAGGGACCTGGTGATTTCCAGCACTGCAGGAATGAAGGAGAAAGCAGGAGGCACCTAAAAACATTGTATGATAAAGAGGAAAGGTTCTGCCACAAAGCAGGAACCACCATAGAGCCAAAAGCCTCATGGGGGGCCTACAGGGATGAGATGCTAAATAATGACCTGTCAGAAATGCTTGTGAAAATGCATCTGAAGCCCCTCAAAGTGGCATCTCAGCAACGAGCATAGGGACAGTGCTGGGAGGATTCACAGCTTCAGATGCTCCCACGATGGACATGGAGCCCAGGCCTACTGAGGGGGTCTTATCTCCATCAATACAGAAGGGCTCCACAGCCCTTGGCTGCACTGGCTTAAATGTCTGGAAAGACAGATCCTGATGTTGGGATGTAATCAAGGAAAGCATCGTTCTTATCAAATGTGCACCCGTCTCCACAGGCACCCAAGGAGGAGGCTCCGTCCAGCCAGGCACCGCGTAGGCCCAGCTGGCAGCAACAGAAGAGCAACGCACTGGCCGTGGCTCAGAGAGAGTCTGTTCTTTTACGGGCAAACACAGCCGACATGCTCTTGACGATGCCACGGATCCTGGTACCCCTTTTCAGTGCCAATCTGGTGTCAGGGATACGCTCTGCCAGTCCGTGGAAGACCATGAGCGCCCCGTGATAGGCCTCAGCAGCGGAGACCTCATAGAAACCGCAGTCCAAAGAGAGGGCCAGGAGCCGGCCCTCCTCGCTGGACACCACCCTTTGGTGGTGCAGGTCCCGTTTGTTGCCCACGATGACGATGGGCACCTTCTCCTGGCTCATACCCTCCTTGGTCGCCTTGATGAACTGGATTTTGAGGGGCAGGATGTTGAAGCTGGCGCGGTCACAGATGCTGTAGACCAGGACAAAGCTGTCTGCCCACTGGATTCGCTTTTCCTCGGAGGAGCCCTCATCTGCCTGGTCCTGGGGAAAGAGAAAAGGGACAAGAGCAAACCAGTGGGGTTAAACACAGAAACAACTCCCAACGAATTGCCAAAGAGGATGTTAGTGCTGGAAAAGTTCCCTGGCGCACAGGAAACAAAAATACTGTCCTTCTTGGCCAATTTCAGGGTTTACCACCCTGAACTACGAGAACCAGTAACTAGAGGGCAGACAGTCCAGCTTTTATCGCTACAGGGCAGGTTGCTTGCCAGAGACTGAGCTGGCACCACAGGCCAGGCTGATGAAAAAGGAAAGGTTTATTTATCCAGCTCCCTCCTTCCAAGCCTGCCTGCAAGCAGGCAGGGTGCAGGAATCCTGCAGTGCTCTGCAGTTCAGAGAGGCACCAAACTGCCACTCCTGCTCTGCAGCACTGCAAGCAGGCCCAGGAACAGCCACATGGCACTAACCTCTTTCATGGGCACAGGTCAGCACACCCACGTTACTAAACAGATGGCAAAAAGAGGGAATTACTGCATCAGTCCCCAGTGTCCTTCTCGGGGAGAAAACTGCTGGCTATGATGACTACTGCTTGACTGAGAACAGCGTCACTGCCCTTTACTCCGCAGGCAAGAAGGGCTCAGTTGCCTACAAACCATCTGCTGAGGGAGTTGGAAATCAAAGCTTTGCTCAGATGGTGCTTCCAGTAGGTAACTCTCCATTTGTAATTTTTTAGAAAAGGACAGGCTTTTCTCCTTGGGTTGAAACATGCAACATGAGTGCAGCTCTCTCACCTGTGAATATGGGACATCCCAGATGTGGAAGAGAATCTCTCGGCCATCCACGGTCAGGTTGTGACTGTAGATGAATTCTGCCAAAACACAAGAACAAAGGTCGTTGTCTTCATAGACTCAAGAGACCGTTCCCTCAAGCAGGCCTTTTTCTCCTGGGGACAAGCCAGTCATGTCCACTCTGATGACACTGCCTGTCCTGCCTGTTTGGAGACTGAACACCACAGGCAAGGACTAAGGACTCTTTACGTGGAGTAACAACCGTGCAGAGTGTTTTGGTCCCCGGTACAGAATCACCTCTACCATAAGCACACTAAACTGCCCAGATAAGTCACCTCTGCTCCAACATTCAGCCCATGAAGAACTGTGCCATCATTTCCCCCCATCACAAACCTTTGAAACCACAGGAAACATTTCTGATGTCAAAAAATAGGTCCTGGAAGAAAACAACCTTGAAGCCTCCTGGAGGCAGATGAAGGCTCTAGAGAAACAGAGGGGTGGACAGCAAACAACTAAATCCTGTATCCAGGATCAGGCTCACTTTCTGATATCCCAGTACCCAGTGCTAAGCTAGCAGGACTGCCCTTGCTCTGACACTCACCCATGTCTCCGTATTCCCCGATAAAACGCCTGGTGAGGAAACGCACAGTCAAAGCTGCAAAGAGGAGAATAAGAAGCATAAAAACAATCCTGAGTATTAACAATCTTTATTTTGGTCCCAGGCAAGCTCAGCTTGGCCCCTGACACAGGCAGGCACCATCCCCCCTGCCCAGACATGGGCAGCTCTGCAGGCAGAGCCGGGGCACAGTGCGGAGCAGCACATTGTGCAGTGCGGCTCGCGGCTCCGTCCAGCTGCCCAAAGGCTCAGCTCAGCCTCCCACCTTGAATCCCACACGTGCCCCATGAGCCCAGACCCAGCTGCCCCAAACCCACATGCTCAGACCATAGCAGCATCGCTCCCTCCATCTCACTCCCGGCTCCACAACAGCGCCTTTGACCTTCTTCCATGGGAGAAAGGGAAAGCTCTGCCTGCCAGCTTCCCACTCTCGCTACCCATCGCCTCTTACCCGACTTGCCCACGTTGTCTGCCCCCATAACGAGCACGTTCGCCTCCATTCTCAGGGCGGCGGGGCCGGGCGCCTCGAGCAGGGCCGGGTGCTCCGGGCTGCAGCTGGCACTCCTGCGCAGCGGGAGCCGCAGACCCATGTCTAGCAGGGCCGTCGGTCCCCGTGGCTCTCTGCGGGGCGGCCGCTTCCCACACCGCCCAGGCCATCCGCGGGGACCAAACCATTCCCAGCAAGCGGAGGGGAGGGCGCAGAGGGAGCTGCGGACAGGAAGATTAAAAACTTTGTTATCAACCACATCAGCCCGAGAGCTGGCCCCTGCGCCAGGCCCGGCCACCCCAGAGCGGGAGCGGGCGGCACAGGGAGGGAACGGCTGAGGGCAGCGGCTGCTCCGCGACGCACGTCCCTGGGGACACGTGTCCCTCAGCAGACCCTGTCCCACGTCCCTGGGGACACGTGTTCCTCGGCGGACCCTGTCCTGACTTTGGAGCCATCGCAGAGCAGCCTCGGTGCGATAGGGCGTCTGATGAGGAGCACTCGGGTTGTCTTCTCCTCTCCACACACCTCGGCCCCGACTTCTCTGCACCTCACCCTGCTCTCCCACCCCACGCAGCCGTGTCCTTCCTCACGCTGCCCCTGCACGCTTCACTGCTCGCCCTTATGGCAGAGATTGTGGCCACCCTGCCCTATGGTTCTGCAAGGGGAACAACGACCCGAAAGCAGAGATGACCACGTCCCTTCCACTTGTGCCCCAGCCACCCCGCCATGCAGCAGGGCTGCGCTGCACTCAGACGGGACAACTCCCGAGCAGGCCCCGAGCGGGCTGGGGAGGCTTCCCGGAATGCAGGGGATCCGCGGGATCCCGCAGGACGCAGCGCCGCAGGCCCCGGGCCGGAGCGGGGATGCGGAGC